CAGGCAGAGGCCAGGGTTTGGAGCCAAGATTAAAGGCTGGATGAGTCATCTGCCATGGTATGGCAATGTCTCTGTTCTCACGTCTGCGCAATCAAATCTCAAACTGATTTCTCCTTCTCATTTTTTTTTTCTTCTCTTTTTGGCAAGAGAGAAAATAACTTCAGTATTCTTTTTTAGGAGGATAAAAAAAAGGAACACCATTCTATTTCCCAAAATTGCATATAGAATTTCAAAGAGTGACCTCTTCCCAGATATAGCAAAACTTATGGTGGCAATGGGAATGTTTCACCTTTTGAAGTATGAAAGCATTAGATCCCCAGGCCTGCCCATTTCTTCATTGTACTTTTGGAGAATGTTAGGATTAGGAGTAAAGGAGTATTAAATATAATACCATCTTCCCCAGAGAGTAATTAATATTTCTGGCCATGCAGACTGTCACGTGGTGTGTCACAGTGGCAATAAGTGAATGACGAGAAGACAGACTCCAGGGATACTGAGATGTTCAAAGCCTTGCTTTTGTCACAGTTGGCCGATTAAGTCATTTTTAGAATGTGGACTTCTCAGGGGCAGAGGTTTTTTCTTTCATATTAGATATACTCTTTTCCCCACACCGTTCAGTTACATAATAGGATAAGTGCATGTACAAAGTCATGCCTTTTTAGTATAAAACAGAATCATATCCCTCATTTCTGAAGTTATAGTTATTCATGATATTACTAATTTTGGACACAGCAAATAAGACATTGCCAGAAGTACTTTCCAGGCAGAATAAATATGTAGCTTTCTCTTAGCCGAGTTTGTTAAATATAGCTTTGATCCCCCCCACCCTCATGAACTGTATGGTAGTTTTCTTGTAATTTGCCACCCTATCTTTAAATGTTAGACTCCAGATGATTTTGTATTGTGCAGTTATATTTTCCAGATTTTTCCTGGCTTTATGGCCTGGGCTGAAACTGTGTACCTCTCTCTCCTTTGACCCATTCTGCTTGCAGTGTTTCACTTCAGTTTATCATACAGCACCTGGTTAGGAGGCCTTCTATCATCCATTCCCCACACATCCGCCTGGCCTCTGCACCGCAGAGCTGGCTGCCCTCCAGAACCTCATCCTGGAAGCAGCTGCCCTCACAGGAAAAGATGAGTTTGGTTCATCTGTGAACATTTTCAAAGAGTTGGACTCAATGTCACAAATAGGTCAAAGTCTCAGTCACATTTAAAGTATGACACAATGGCATCTTTAAAAACATTTAACTTCCCTGGCAGCACTGTGTCCTTAAAAGAATAGAAACCTTGACAATAGGCAGATGTGTTTTGGAATCTCTGCTTCACTGTCTTTCTATCTATATAATATAAATACTAACCTTTAAAGTTCTAAGCACATTACCTGTCATATTAAATTAGGCTCTTAATACATTTTGGTTCTCTCTAAAACTCTATCAAATGTTTACCATGAGCAAGGCCAGTTTGCTTCATGAAATACCAGGTGGTATCAACTTATAAAGAAGTCAGTGCTCAGGGTACTCAGAGGGGATTTTGGTAAATTCTAAGCTGAAATGCAAGTTAGAATATAAAAAATGCCACATTGGAAATTTAGGGAAAGGAGAGTTCAGAGGAGGGATGTATTACTCTTAGTGGGAGTAAAATGAAAAACTTCATGACAGCAATAGCAATTGAAATAAAATGTGAAGAAATCCTTCCCTTTCCTTACATACTAGTGCCTATGATTTGGACTTTGCAGGTGTAGAAAAAAGATATTTTAAGTGATGAGAAATAAGTGAACAAATGAAGTTAATATAGGGCATGTTTGAGAAGTATCTAATAGTCAAAATTGGCTAGAGCAAAGTGCCCATTAAAAGGAAGGTAGGAGATAATTTGGAAAGCTAGATTAAGCCACATGTTGGAGGATCTTAGATTTCACCTGCATGATGAGAAGCTAGGCCTATAAAGGAAGAAAGCCCTCACCATCCATCAGGAATCCAAGGCTCTTTTCTTACTCTGCCACTACCTGTAAGGAATGGCAGAGCATCTAGGTTCTATATCTAGGTTCTGGGGTCAAGTCTCAGTTTCCTCTTATCAACCCTGTGACATTGAACAAGTTATTTTGCCTTTCTATCTTCAATTTGCTGACTTGTAAAATGACAGGATTAGACTAGACCATGTCTTTTGAAGTATAAACTTATTTGTTTATAAATTTGGTTGCTAGAAAATGGCAAAGGTTTTTCATGAAACTTATTTTTCAAAAAATGAGAATGCTTAAAAGCATCCAGATGAAATAACTGGAGAATTTCTATTTTCTATACCAATGCTAAGCACATGGTTTAAAGTGAGAGTTCTAGTACTACTATCCAGGGCAGTCTGAAGGAGAGAAAAATCCAATAAACACAAAGTTATTTGAGTTTGGGCCTACTTAAAATGAGAATTTGAAGAAAGGTAGTGGCTTTTTTTTAAAAGAGAGGAGTAATTATGAGAGCTATTGCAGCAATAACAATAAAAAGACTTGGAACCTGATTGAATATCAGTTCTAAAGCTAACAAGCATAGAAAGTATTGCTCTTTTTTAAGAAAATCTTACATGTTTTTTATATCATCATACAAGTGATCTGATTTAGTCATTACTTTTATTTAGTTCTGTATTACTCAGAGAGTTTCAATGCATGTAGGGTTTCCAGTGATATAGATTGGCACATGTTATTGATCAAATAAATATTTATTGTGGACCTAGTATATGATAGATACTTTTCTAGGTATTGGAGACATAGTAGAGAACTAAGCAGACAAGGTCCTTGCCCTTGTACAGCTTACATTCTACAACTGAAAATGGAAGAGAAAGACGACAAATGAATGAAGAAAACAGTAGCTATAAAAAAAGTATGATGAGAAAGATGAACAAGATTGATGTGATAGAAATATCTCAGATGCTTGGGCAGGCTTCCCTGAGAAGGGTGCATTTAGGTTGAGAGTTGAATAATTGAAGGAGCCAGCAGCATGGAGCAGCAGAGCAAGAACTTTCCGGGCAGAAGGAACACATACAGTGCAAACGCCCAAGGGTGGAGCTATGCTTTGGTGTGTATCAGGAATTGAAAGGAGCCAGGCTGCCAAGGGCATAATGAGCTTGGGGGAGAGTAGTCAGAGGTGAGATGAGAATATAGGTGCTAGTTCACCACATGGTGCCAACTGCAAAAGCTCATTTGTAATCTCTTCTCAGCCTTGTTGAAACTTTATAGCCCAAGAAATAACATTCTTCATAGCAGAAATAATAAAACCACATTTACTCTCTTTTTTCATACCAACACTAGGAAAATGTTTAAACTCCCAGTTTTTCAGGGGGAATAAATTAGGTCTCAAAGTTGTTCAGCTACTTGCTCAAGGTCACACAGCTTGTAAATGGCACAGATGCGACTCAAATCAGGTCTTATGATTCCAGGACCAGAGAAGTCTCCAATTCCCACGGTGTCACTTTCCCTTCTTATATAATCTTAAGAGAACAAACGGAGTTACTGACCTTTTATCAGAAAACTGGCAGGAGAAGCATCTGTAACTGAGGATAGACATTTTAACCAAATAGCAGTGAAAGAGTCCCTTGCTTATGGTGGACAACCTGACACATACTTTCCTGCAGTTGGTTTAGAAGTAGAGAGGTACAAAGGTGTACCTATTGGCAGAGAATGCATAGAGTGGTTATGTACTTATTTTCCTTTCCGTGGGAGTCTGATAGCAGCCTTTTGCTTTTATAATGCCATGATTTGATGATTTTCTAACAAAATCAACTTCATGTATCTGGACGGACTGAAATATGCCATAAGATATCGTGGCATTTTAAAGCAAATGTGAATCGTGGTAAACAGGCTGGCATTTACTCATGGACACTCTATTAGCTATTTCTGCACTTTGCCCCTCCATTAAGTTAACTGCCAGGCTGGGGCCATTAAAATCCAGCCTTCCTCCCTCAATTACAAGCACACATTAACTCTAGATATTCTGAGCCTTCCTAATAGAGTCATTTCCAGAAGGGATTTCTATTAGTATCTCCCTCCTTTCTGTTCTCATCCTAAGGCCCTTTAAGCTTCCTGCAACTTTGAGTTCTGAAAATGCCTATCTCAAAGCCAGTTGGGATCTCTGTTTATGATGCAACCCCAAATCCAGGCATCCGTTTAAACGAGTGCCCAGTTAGAGACACATTGTACTTCTCTTCTTTCAGAGAGCAGCATTTGCTTTTTGCTGGGGGCTTTTTGACTGATGCAGGGGGCGAGGAAGGAGAGTTGGCGGGCGTTTGGGAGCAGATTTAGAGCCGCTTCTCATTGGAGGGGCTCGCTTTTCCTGAGCTGCCAGACACTGCAGGCTCAACTGAGGCTCGGAGGTGCAATTCAGGCTGGTGGAGCAGCGGGGGAAGGCAGGGACAGGCGGGGCTAGCGCGGCTCTGCAGCTGATCACACGCACCACCACACACACCACATTCCTGCTGCCCCGGCTTGCGCCTAGCGTCTTCCACCCGGGGCCACCGAGGCGCTGACAAGGATTGGGGGACCCAAGAAGACAGAGGCAGAGGAAAAGCTGGAGCGGCGCTACTGTTTAACCTGAAAGTCTGACCGGCAACCCGAGGCTCCAACCCCGTCCAGCAGCACCGCTGTCGCCTGGAAGGCTGGCACAGCGCCAGGGAACCCACGAGTCCCCCGCTCGAGTCAGTCAGTGCTCTGTGCGCCAAGGATCTTTCTGGCAGGGACAGCGCGGTGCCCTCATGGAGGTGCGGAGCTTGGGGGACCTGAATTGGCGCCCATAGTGGTACACCAGGAAAAGTGGGAACGAGGAAAACAGCCGTGAGCGCAGAGTGCGAGGCCAGGCTGCCGCTACCGCCCGCCGCGCCGCCTCCTGCCCTCTCCCGCTGGGTGAGTGCCCAGGCTTCGCGCACTGCCGTGTCTCCGCTGAGCGCTGGGGCGGCCTGCGGGCCCTTGAGGGTCCGCCGGAGGGCCCCGGTGGCGTCCGCGGAAACTCGGGGGTCGGGGGACGCCAGGCGGACAGGTCACTGGAGTCCGGAACCCGGGAATCTGAGCCCGGAGGGCGTGGGTAGGGGGCGTTGCGCCAGTGCCCGGCAGACATGCCTTTGGGCGGGATTTTGGCTAAAAGATAGGAGGCAGGTGCGCAGGGGTGCGGAGAGCGGTCCCAGGGGGCGGGAGATTGGGGAGCGGCGGGGAGGGGGGGAGGGTCTGGTCCAGGCAGGTAGAGGCAGCTTCTTAGGCAGCCAGCGAGTTGGCAGGTGGGTTGGGACTCGCTTGTCAACTCATTAATTTTAAGCAGTCAGGTTGGGGGCACTGCAGGATAATCAGGAGGGCAGTGGGGAGGCAAGAGGTGACCCGGGATGCCGGTGGTGGGGAAGGAAAAGAGGAGCCTTGGAAAGCTTGGAGGCAAAATTGCGCTTGGGTTCCGGGTCCTTGCATTCCCCCTGCCTTGAGTGCAGGAGAACACTTTTTCAAGACTCACCTTGGAAGGAAAGCCTCCGTCTCAGGGGAGAAGGAGAGGCGTCTGCAGGGGGCAGAGACAGCAGCTACCTGCCGGGTGCGCCCCCCACCCCAGGAGCGCTCGCTTCGCCCCCTTTCCTCCCCCGCCCCCACCTCCTTATTGGTGCTAGTTTGCAGCGCCCAGCTCCTGCGCCTTCGCTTCGCGTTTGAATCTGGCTCGCCCCTTCGTATTATGTCTGCACTCCGAAGGAAATTTGGGGACGATTACCAGGTAGTGACCACATCGTCCAGCGGCTCGGGCTTGCAGCCCCAGGGGCCAGGCCAGGACCCGCAGCAGCAGCTTGTGCCCAAGAAGAAGCGGCAGCGGTTCGTGGACAAGAACGGCCGGTGCAATGTACAGCACGGCAACCTGGGGAGCGAGACGAGCCGCTACCTCTCGGACCTCTTCACCACGCTGGTGGACCTCAAGTGGCGCTGGAACCTCTTCATCTTCATTCTCACCTACACCGTGGCCTGGCTCTTCATGGCGTCCATGTGGTGGGTGATCGCCTACACTCGGGGCGACCTGAACAAAGCCCATGTCGGTAACTACACGCCTTGCGTGGCCAATGTCTATAACTTCCCTTCTGCCTTCCTCTTCTTCATCGAGACCGAGGCCACCATCGGCTATGGCTACCGATACATCACCGACAAGTGCCCCGAGGGCATCATCCTCTTCCTCTTCCAGTCCATCCTGGGCTCCATCGTGGACGCCTTCCTCATCGGCTGCATGTTCATCAAGATGTCCCAGCCCAAGAAGCGCGCCGAGACCCTCATGTTCAGCGAGCACGCGGTGATCTCCATGAGGGACGGAAAACTCACGCTTATGTTCCGGGTGGGCAACCTGCGCAACAGCCACATGGTCTCCGCGCAGATCCGCTGCAAGCTGCTCAAAGTAAGTGCTCCCCGCCCCTTCCCCACCGGGAGACCTGCGTCCCCCAAACCCCGGGAGGAACTCGCCTGAGAACCAGCCCGGCCCCCTCCCCTGGTTCTATCTATCGCCACAGGTAAACTTCCTTTTGGGGGATGAGGGGGTTAGAGGACTGGGCAAAGAACGCGGTTGACAGTTCTGTTCTTTTCCCACGCACTGTCGTGCTCTTGTTTATATTCGTCATTTCGGATGTGCTTGATTACTTTCTGGACTAGTAACACTTGAGGACTGGTGTTGGCTCCTGAAGCCTTGAGGGCAATTAGTGCCCTGTTTTCCTTCCTGTCCTCGTTGCTTTGCTCTTCAGAGCGATTTTATTTGTTGTCGACACACTGCCCCATTCAATGCGAGATCCTAGAACTCACCTGAACAGCTGTTATTTTGAAGAAATAGGTGCTGAATTTGCCTCAACTTTCATGATGGTCTTTTCTTATTTTTTTCTTTCCTTTTATTCACCCTAATAATATTAGGAGGCAGATTACTCCTCTAGACCCAATGTATTGAACTCTATCTTTTTAACAAACACACAGACTCAGGAAGCAGATAATAAAGTGGAAGAAACCACACTTGGTTCTTTTAAATTTTTATTTTTACTAAATATTTTCCTAGAGACCTGTTCTATGAAAGCTTGAGTGCTTTTCCTGTAGAGCCTCTTGTTAATTTTATTCTTAATTGCCTGTTTCTATGAAGCCTTTGTCAATTACAGATTTCACTTGAAGCTTTCAGCATCCATTAAAGAAGATTGCTTCCTAACATCAACGGTGTAAATGCTAAAACAAATTGCACATGGAGTGGTTATTAAAGCAAGGTCCGTCTAGTCGTTAGAGGGCACCACCACAAACAAGAGAAGTCCTTCTTAATCACTCATCCAATTAGAGTATGGGAAGGAAGGCTTAAAGCCCAGTTGTTTGTCTCTGTGTGTGATTTGCAATTCATATTCTTCCCAGAGGTATTTTTCTCAGTAGTTTTCAGATGTCCATAAACTGAAAAAGATGACCTTAAATAAATAGTTCATACAATGAAAAATGTTTATCTGAAATTGCATAGAGAACTGAAGCCTGATTCTGAATTTAGTATTAATAAAATGAAAATCTGATCTCAATATTTGAGATTTTGCCTTTTAAATTTTAATTTCCATTCCACAAGTACATATTGTTTTACACAGCTCCAACTTAATGTTGTAGTTAAAAGGGATCCAATGTGCTTTAAAAAGTTTTACTCTTGTGTCATTTTCATTATTCACTTACAAGATCTTACCATAATTATCCTTGACCAAGTTGCTCAGAAAAGTGTTTAAATTAAAGCAGTTCACTTGTCCTGTCACTTCATATTCCATACATATTTACTGTGTTACATATAGTAAATAAACTAAATTTTGTATACCATAGAGGATAATTATCAACCTGGTTCTGATGTAAATTATCATTAAGGTAACTATGAATAAATAACTTGGGTAGATCATATTAATTTATAATTAATTTCAATGAACTGCATACAATTTAAAAAATGTTTAACTTAGTTTATTGTTATTGACCACTGTTTGAATCAAGCAGTTTGTCAGATCAAGCCGAGCAGTTGTGTTGTAGGTATGTTTATTACAATGGTAATTGTATGTGTCTGTATCTATGCATAGACCACAATATAGCATTTCTTCCTTTAGGTTAGGCCTACTAGGCAGAAAGGAACACTTTGTTATAGTGGCAAGGCTTCTGTTCAAGGAATCCATGTTTACGTATCACTTTGAGGCTTACTGAAGAGGAGTTTACCATATTAATTAATATAATGGAAATTGAAAATTAGATATTAAAAGTTATTTATAGGAATTCTCTAGTTTTTTAAACATATAAGGTTATTTATTACAGATGTTTGTTCCAGACAACATATTTTTGATGTTTATAGCTGTTTTTACATTTTATTTCAACAAAGCCAGTCATAATTAGGATTAACCTATATATTAGTTTTTGTTTCTTTTTTAATGCAAAGGTTTCTTTAATGCAATGATTCTGAATCACCTAGTCTGTACACTGGTGCAGGGTACTGATAATATTGTTTTCTGTCTAAAAAATATACCACATATACCATAAAGAGTGTCCTAATTAAAAAGATGAAAGATTTATAGTGTTGACAAATTTGGAGCAAGGTGCTATATTAACACAAGGTGATAAAAACATCTCATTAAAATAACATATGTAATATTCTTATAAAGTCTTTTACTTTTGATTTGTTAGGAAGATGTCAGTGCTAGAAGTAAACACAATTTACCTGTGGCATTGATTTATATTTAAAGAAAATTATAGTGAAATTCTCCCCTGCTTTTTGTGAGGGGAAAGCGTTGATCCCGGGGTAACTCTTCAGCTAGCCAGGTAGTGTAGTTTGTTCAAAGTTCATCTTTCCCATAGCCATGGTAATTTAAGTGAATTATTGTAGTTCTCATTATTCCCTAGACTTAGAAATTAGAAAGGGGTCATGTCTTATTGGGGAGATAATAACATTCAGCAAAACTAGAGGGGAGATTTGGCTTTAACAAGTTGCTCTCATTTTCTCTTAGGGACTGAGATGAAGTGACCTAAAACAGTCAACTGTATTTTTAAAGAGAAGCTATACCAAAATCTTAAAGTAATATGTCCCTATCAGTTCTATATGTTCTTCTTCTTATATATTATACACAATTTCCCCTTTTTAACCTCCATTTGGCAGTTTAAATGCAAAGTTGATCTGTCTTTAATGCCGAATGTGTAGAATTTTTAAGGAAACAAAATCCAATATAAGATTTAGTACTAGTAACTATAGGGGATGTATGCTTTTCCTATCACCTAATTTAATTTTATTATTTTTTTTCTATTGTTGTTTTCTTATTTGCTAAATAAAAGTTTCTTTAGAGAAATATAAAAGTTCTATTTACTAATTATCAAGCACTTTTTGATTCTTGGGAAGACAATAAGAACATGGGCATAGCTTTCTAATGCTTGTTGTTATGAAATTTTTCATGAGTAATAGTTTTAAAATGCCTAACTTTTGATGGAAGTTTTTTGTATAATTTCTCTGCCTAATTTTTAATTATGCTTTTCATTTATATGAAAGCACTTTTTATTTCATCTCTATTCCTCTTTTCCAGCCTTACAAATACTAAAATTTCTTTCAGTAGTCAAATGTAGATCTTTCAACTTTATGCCTGGGGTGTGGGGCGGGGGAGGGGGGTCAGACCTTATTCTACTCAGAAAAAAAGAAAGTATATTAAATAAAAATAAAACTTGAAGTTCCTGATTAAAATCTGTGATTGAATTATAAATATATATATAGACAGCTGTTTTAAGATGAATATTCTTTCTTTCTCTCCTCACCATATTTAATTTTTACTTGAATTTTCCATTTATTTTAGTTGTCTTCTTTTCATTTTATGCTTTACTCAGAAAATAGGGACTTAACTAGTATCATGGCTGTGCTAAGTTAATATGTCATCCAGTTGAAAGTTTTTATAAAAATGCCTGGATTAAGACGTTGAGACCAGTAGCTGTAATGTTGAACCCTATAGTTTAGTGTTGGGTTTAAAGGATTTGAAAGTCTTACTCACTCCTTTCCACCAACCTAATAAGAATGGTTGATTGATCTAAACATACAATTTATTGGGGCAAGTATTAATTATTATTCTTTGATATACTGTTCAAGAAATTATAAATTTATTATCTCAATGACATCATATATATGGTTATATTCATCCAACAGTATACAATTTTTTACATAAAGTAAACATAAAATAAACTATGGTTGTGTTTATATCTTGAAACCAAAAGATAAGGATTAATTTTCTGGAAGCACAATCTTACTTCCTTATAGTTCTATTTATTGCCAATAGTCATCCTCTTCCTTTCCTGAGAGGTCAGCTGCGCAATCATTAACTTTCACTTGTCAAAAGTAATAGTACATTCCTTTCCTCTTCTGATATCAGATATGTTAATTTTGTGCTTACCTTTTTATTCCTCCATATATATATATATATATATATATATATATATAATACTCCAAATTGGATGTTGTCTTGTTTCTCCATATGGCTATTATCAAGTGCAGATACAATTAAAAAAATGGTTGTCTGAAAGACCATTAAGCTCTTTATTCTCCAACATTTTGCTAATCCAACCACAATGATTCCAGAATCACAGGATTCCTGCAGTTTTCTCATATATTTATTGGTTTGTTTTAATTTCATTTCTTGCACTTAAATATGATTACGTTTTTGACTTTGTATGATCTTAATTTTATAATTAAGACTCTTCACCAATTGACTGTGGCCACATTGGACTTTACTTTTAATATTGATACAATTATGTACCTTCCTTTACAAAAATAAAATCCACAAATGAATATCTATGTTTTTAAAAAGCCCTGTTCTTCTGACCATCACCTAGACCATTGGTAAAAATATTCAAGGGGTCTAAGACTGAGTACCTCAGAATGCTCAGTAGCTAGGTCTTGTATTGGTTTGTGAGTTGTTTATGTAGATTCATTATATCCTTAAAATTAGCACAGTTCCTATTTATCCTAGCTTTTTCTTCTCTGACACAAGTATCCTAATTCTCTAATAAGTACAGAGCTTGGATTCTTTTAAATATATATAATAATTATTCTTTTTAAATGGTAGTAATATATTTTGTTTGATTTTTTTATTTTTATTTTTAATGTGATTCCTGAAAAGTAAAGGTTGGCTTGTGCTCAGGGAAGAAAAAGTGAACAGAAATCAGGAGCATAAAGACCCACAAATAAACAGCAGTAGGTAAGAACAAATGATAAAGAGAGGAGGAAAAAGCATTTGATAGATTGGTGTGTGTTTGGTGAGTAGGAGGAAATGTGCAAGTAGGGTTACAAAGCCTGTCCTCAGTTATTATAAATGCCACAAAAGGCCCTCAAGGAATTAATAAAGCTGCTCTTTTATTTGAATGGTATGAAAGCCTTACATAATATATTATAAG